AGTCTAAATATTACATAAATCAGAGGCAATACCAATTGTACTATTTAATAATTTGTGCTAAACTGAAGCATGGTTAGTGCTACACTGTATAACAATATCTGCCACAGAAGCTAATATCTACTAACAAAGTCAGTAATTAAAAGCAATCACATCAACTTTATAGACTAATTTTAAATTTAAATGATTACATTTTTAGCTTCATTTATGGTTGGATCACATTAACATGGAGGTAAATAAGATAAAATCTGCTGACTTGTGAAATGAGACACGTTTCCCTTTTTCTCCGTAGTTGGTACAACCGTAGCACACACCAACTTGTGGCATTTTTACATTTTTATATACATTAGCTTTCATACATTCTAACATTATATTAATATTGTCATTAATGTTTTTTACAAAATCGGCCCGTTCTGTTGGTTGTTTTGCCAATATATTCAACAATGTTAAGTCCAGATGCTAGTCTTCTCTGGTTATGGCCGCCGTCCCTCCATTGAGTCAAGGTCAAGGTCAATGTTCTTTATTGTTTTTCACATCACATGTGGTACATGTGGTGGAATGAAATTGAGTACGCAGGGTCCCAGTTACATCTAACAAAAGTATAAATTATAAAGAAAAACAGTAATAAGATCTAAGATATGAACTAAGAATACGCTAAGCACTACTAGTACAAAAACAATACGAACAGCAGCAGCAGCATGAACATAAGTCTGTGTGAGCAGATGAGTACGAAGTCATAACGTCATGTGACCAATGTGTCCTCTAAGTGTCTTATTAATGAGCAGAGTACACAAGAGGTGTAGACTTTGTGAATGTCAGTATTTTGTTTGTGTTATGATCAGAATGGTGGATGAGACTTTGTTCTTGTCTGGAACAAACCAGTTTTTGTGCAGACCAAATCTATGTATTTGTGTTCTTAAGTTCTAAAAGTACAAAAATAACAGAATTCAGCAAAAACAACAACTTTTGTGTTTACGAGATGAAAAATATAATGTTTCACATAGTCAAGTTAGGCTGCAGCTTTCTGTCTCCAGTTTCTGTTTTCCCTCTCCGATTAGTCCTAAGGAACATTTGGTTACATTTTATTGGTCTCTATTCTATACTTTCAATAAGTTAATAAGTCAAGATAAAATTCACATACAGAGGGTTACGCTGTAATGTTACAGCAGAGTTAAACCACTCTTTCATGAATGAGACACTGAGACCATCAGTGGTTGTTGGAATTGATCCAATCTGTGGTTTTTAGTGACATTTTGTGGTCTATTCAAAGTGTGGCTCATGTGCTTTTATTGTACCTCACCATTGACTTTATAAGTTGCAGACATCAACAGGTGACACTTAGAATTGCTAATAAATATTTGTCAGATAATACTTTTATTTTTGCACATTAAACAATCTTATTTTTAGTTGACTATTCCACCTTTATTGTTACAGATATATTTTACTAATAAAGGTAAAGTATTGAAGTTGACATATATAGCAACGGAAATGTACTCAGTGACTGCAGGGGACCGTGATCGTCACCGCTGGGACCCATGGACTTTGATTCCAAACTGAAAAGTGAGACTTCATCCAAACAAAGTTGTAATAACTAAGGGGTTAGGTCTCACTGTGGGGCTGAAGGGGCTCGGAGAATGCTTGTTTGGTTCAGAAAACCCATACCAAGGTCAACGGACTGACTGGATGAAAGACTCCGGGTCAGATTAACCTCCTGAAACGCTGGGGACTAGAGGGAAACGCTGTGGATACATGGGCTGAAGGGTCCGAGGGGGGGCCTTTGGTCTGACAGGATTTAATTCCTGAGCAGAACTGCCTTGACTGTTGTGAAACAACAGGGGTATTGAGTAAGACCAGGATGTTGTCAGTCCCCAAAAGGTCCAACAGTCTGGGACATAGTCCAGCAGCGTTTCATTGAACTTGCCTTACCGATTGTGGCCACAACAACAAACTTTGCCAGCTGTCGTGGCAGGAAAAGAAATATGGGAAAGTTTATGACAGAAGGTGCCTTAACTGCTTGTGGCGAGAATGAAGCGGGCTCACCTTGAGACGTCTACGTGAGTAAATATATGCATGCCTGTCGTCATAAGATATAGAGTACAGTAGGCCCTTGTTTATTGCAGGGGTTAAGTTCCAGACACCCCCACCCGCAATAAGTGAAAATCCGCGTCTTAACTCAAACCTATATCATTTTAACAACATACATACTGTATATGTACTGGTACTCTAGAGTACTGCCAAATTTTACTCACCAGCTCTGCAGAAACAGTGGCTCGGGTCCGGTCCAGCAGACCTACCCTGTTCTGCCGGTTCTGCTCTTGTCCGGTTCTGTGCAGCCCTTGAGCACCAAAATGCAGTTTGGAGGGAGCCAGACCTTTCAGATGGCCAGCACGGGACCAGACGGTGGTCAGATTGAGTCCAAATCTGGATGGGGGAAGTCCCAGTGGGCTCCGGAGTGAACACTGGACCTACGTGTGGCGTCTTCCCTCTCATAAGTCCTCGTGAATCAGCAAGCAGTTCTCAGACTGACCAGTGAGTCTGGAGGTCTGGTTCTGCTCCAGTTCTGGTCCAGTTCCCGTTGGGTTCCATGCAGCTCTCTGTATCCACTGGGCGCCAATGTCATTATAAGCATCAAATGTTTTCCGATCAGAACAAAACTTTCCCTCTAGTATTTCCGCAGAGGGCAACAGTGCTTCTAGGCGGGGCACTGTTGGCTTCTGGGAAATCTAGTCATTATGTGTGGGTACATTACAGTGCACAGTGTAGGCTTATAGAGAAAAAAACTACAAAAGGGTGGCGCCTGTTTGCAGTATTTTTTGTTAACTTTTTACTGTACAGTATCCCGTACTGTCCCTATCACGTGAGTAATATTAAAGTTGACAGTCATGTATTCTGTACAGTACAATGATTTTTCTCGTGTTTAATCTTTCTTAGAAAAACTGTAAAAGTCAAACAGCAAAGTAGCGAGTGGCTACTTAGGGTGGCTGAGTGGTTAGAGCAGTTGTCCTCCAATGCAAAAGTCGGGGGTTCAAATCTGCCTGCAGTCACATGTTGAAGTGTCCCTGGGCAAGACACTGAACCCCTCATTGCCTCCGATGTGTGTCTCATCGGTGTATGAATGTGATAAATCACTGATTAGTCTCTTTAGAATGATTTGTTCAATTAGTTTTGTACAGATCT